CTGTATAAAAAAATAACCTCAACAATTGATTTGGCAATTATTAAGTCAACTATCAAAACACTTTCTAAAAACAAAGCACTAGGAAAGTCAGAAATTAGTTATAAAATTATTAAACTCTTGGGCAAAAGTATCTACAAACCTTTTTGTAATATATTAAATTTCATTACTAACTTTGCATTTATTCTTAATTTCTAAAAGCAAACTATTATTATACCAATTTTTAAGAAAATAATTTGGAGTTACAATCTAAATAATACAAGATTTATATCTCACATAGAATCTACAAGAAACTCTTTACTAATATAATTAACAAAAGATTTACCAAAATTCTTAAAAACAATCAAATACTATTAGACTTTAACTTCATTAGTCTTCTTGTCAAAGCACTATAGAACTTCAAACTATTGTCAACTCAGCAATTTTGAAAATATAGCATTAGTAAAAAAATTCAAACAAGATTTGACAAAACTTATATATAAAATTCAATATGCTATAAAAGAAAAACTCAAAGAAGATTGTCTTATCCAGCTTCCAAATTTTTTATAACAAAAACCATAAGCAGCTTACTTCTGTTAAAAGATTAGCATAAGCCAATCATGTTATATTGGTATTTGGGTCATCAATATAGACAATATTGGTGACCCTTAATCACATTTTCTTTGACCATATAGTTATACAGATCCAGGCCACAATCCAAAACCCAAGCACCACACTACTTTCTATTACTACTACTTATGGAGCACATATATAAGGTTTATAATACAACTAGTAGCTAGCTATTTTTTACTTTTTTTTTTTCCCTCTACTTGGGTTCTCAAAGGTTTGCATATGTCAACTTTATTTACAATATGCTAGAATTAATTTACTTACTTTGTATATTAGAGATTATTAATGTAATGATGAAAAAATGAAAGTTTAATAAATGTCTCATATTTAATGTCCATTTGCAAAAAAAAAAAGAAAAAGAAAATTTAAAGAAGATAAATGCTCAAAATTATTAAAAAAAATACTTTAAAAAGTTATTAACTATATGAATAATAATAAAATACAATTAATTGATATAAGTTCTGACTATACTATAACATTATAAAAAATGATTTTCAAAGTAACTATCAAACCTAAAAAATCTATTAGAAAAGATGAATTGCAATTACAAAAAGAAACAACTATAAGATATTTATTAAAGCCAGATGAGCTGAAAGAAGAACACATTTATAGAAAAATTGATTTATACTTTTTATTACATATTTATCAAATTAAAAAAGTTATTGTTAAAAAAAATCCATTACAACCAGTCTTATACTATTTAGAAAATAAATTTATTAAATCTACTGCTTATTTGATGGGATGTAATTCACATTGACCATTTAAGTGATAAAAATTTCAAGTAATGAAAAATCTTAAAAAACTAGAATATTCATTTAACAATTTTATATAAAAATATTATTCTTCTGAATCTATATATTTTATTTGATTATTAATAGTAAATTTGACAGGATTTAATAATATATCAAGAAATATGATAGATATATCTTAACTAAAACTGAATAAATTAATAATCAAAATATATATTTTTGGTTTTGTGAAAACAGAAAGTATTAGTAATAATATTTTTATCTATTAATAATTACAAATTTGAATAGTGTTTCCTATATTATCATTTTAAAGAAGTGTAACCTATAAGATATATTTTCAAAGATCTGCTAGATAAAAAATTTCTATTATGTAAACCATTATTTTTAAATAAAATACAATTAGATGAATATAATGAAGTATTAAAATTAGTATATTAATTTAACAGAATTCAACATTTTTATTAAAATGCAATGTTTTATAAAAAATAAGATAATTAGAGGCTTAAATTTCATGCAATTAGAAAAGGTTTAATATATGCAAAAGAGAAAATATAGATCTTATTGAAATTTCTTATTCTGTCAATTTGTTTTCTTATATAAAAAGCAAATTACAAAAAAAGAATCATTTATTATATAAAGAATAAACTTATAAGTAAAGATGGATCCCTAAATTATTTAACATATAAAATTTTGCAGATCCATTATGTTTCTTTTGAAAAGACATAATTATTTATTCATTACTTTAATAGGGACATAATTTAAAATCACTTGAATCAAGTGTTCTAAATTGCAAAAAACCTTTATAGGTAGTTTTTTTTTAACGTTATATTTTTAAAAAACCTTTTTAATAGTAAGGGACATTTAAATTATGTCCTTACCTTTAATTTAGGAACATATCTTTACTTATAAGATTATTATTTTCGATATAATAATTTGGCATTACTTATCTTAATCAATATAAAAATAAAAAGGCTAGATTCTGTCAAAAAAATAGTTTAAATATTGATAAATATAATAATCCAAAAAGGTTTAACTTATTAAATACTGTAGTATACTTTAATGGCCTTTTAACTTATTAATTAGTGGATGAACCAGATCCAGAAAAATTAATGAAGTTACCAATCTTTTACTTGAAAACAAAATATAGCAATTGTTTAATATCAAAAAAAAATAAAACAAGATATATTAAGAATGATAATTTAGTTTTAATCAAACATTATATTAATAAGTCAAAATATAAATATCTGAAATATTGTTATAAAATAATTGCAAATAATCCAAAACCATATTATAAAGATATCATATTCAGAGCAATAAAGTCTAATAAAATATCAAATAAATAATTTTTCTCCTAAAAGAGAAACAGTAGTTGTATTTGAAGATTTATGTATTGAGCCTAAAAAAATACAAAATAAAATTGTTCTGTATTTTACTGAAGGGTGATATGCTAATATATTTCAATATATATAATACAAAGTATTTTTGACTGTTCTAAACTAATAAGAAAAAATTTCAATTATATTGTTCTCTTTAATGGCTGTGGGACTAGTTTATATTGCTTGACGATATACAAAAAAATGGCACTATGTTGTTGATATACTTGGTAAAAATTTACAAGGTAGGGAATTTATTGTTATTGATTTAATTAGAGCAAAAAAAGACCCTCTATACCTTCAAAAGGGATGAAACCAACTGCTTGATCTTTCTAATAAGTAGTGTAATTTATGATAATGAGATAATAATTATTTTTCTGTTATTTATTAATACGACAATATAAATACATCCTACTCACCACTCCTATTAAGAAGCTGTCCATATCCAACTGTGATTTGAAATTAAGATGGATGTTTTCAATATCTTATTCGCTACTATTCTCAAATAAAATAGCTATCAGTATCCAACCTGATTGAAGTTGGAGTAGATATTGAAAAATTAAAAATTCTATTTGTATCGAGGGGATTTTGTGTTGAATAAAACAAATGTATATATATTGGTTGAATTAATTATAAGAGATTATTTATCGCAATAGAGAATTTCATATTTCACGAATTCGTATATAGGATATATTGTATTTTTTAGCTAATATCTGTAATGAATTTTTAATATCCTTAGCAGTAATTATATCACTAATTGCTTCGGGTGATAATTGAGTTGCACCTGTTTTAATTTTCTAAACATTTGTATATTATTCTGGAAAAATATCATAATTTCGTACAAAAAATATTATATCCTTGGCAGATTGAAATAATATCAGAGGTGTCGTGATAATTTCCTTTTCGTAGCTGGTATAACTCCAATGTGACAGTTTCTTCTCTTCCCTTATTAGATGACATTTCCAAACTTTATGGTTTATTATTAAATATGTGCGTGTCGATTAGCAATTAATTTTTAACATTTAAAACCAGCACACGCCGATGCACATACACTTTGTCAATCAGTTAAAAAATAGAAATCCGGTGGGGCTAGTTTATTAAAGTAAAAAAATGAACGAATTTATTATGTAGATTGTGACAAGCAATCACAATGTCACGTAACTATTTATTTATCTGAAACCTTAGCTAATACGTAATTAATATCATCCTGAGATATATTTGCTAATGTTGTTGCCGTGAAAGTCTTAATTCGTTTAATCTTATCCTCTTCTAATTCATTGAACAAATCATAAATTCTCAGGGCCCTTTCTTTTGTTTTTCGAAGTAAGCTTTCATAACTGAATTTGGAAACTGTTTTCTAATCTCATCAGAAACCTTTCCTTCGGATGTACGCTTTGGATGCTTTTTTCTGTAGTAATTATACCGTTCCTCGATTGCTTTCCCAAAATGAAAATAGCCACGTATAAGATCTTGAGTCGTTTTTTACCAGTTTCTTCTTTATTGATTATATTTTGATACAAAGCTAGAAAATTGATAGATTTTTTATTTGATTCTGATATTGGTTCAGTTGGCAAAGTTTTATTCGGAACATCAGTTCTCAATTCTTTGATTAGTCTTTGTAATGTGGAAGAATCTTCCTTTGAAACTTGCTTCTTCGCTTTCTTACTGATTATTTTACTGGTAGATTCACCAACATACTTTTTAGGTGAACTTGAATATAATAGGATATTCTTGAATAATGTTGTGGATATATCCATCAAATCGTCAATATTCTGACTCCCAGACGTAGCATCAACCGTGGATTCTACCTTTTTCTTGCAATTATCTCTTGGACATATAGAACATTTTTTGATTGATTTTTCAATGCAATCGCGATGATATGAGTGGCCACAGGTGAGTATGGTAATCGAGTTTTTTATTTCATATAAAAAAAGTTCTTTGTTACATAACAAGCATGGATCTAATTCTGGTACATCCACATCTTCTGCAATTTTTTTCTGAGAATGAATTTTTTAGAATATTTAATGCAAGGGCTTCGAGAGATAAGATATTAGCAGACATGATAATGAGCGTCGAAAAACATACCTCATTTCACATCACTTATATGTCTGTTCGTTTATCTGTTTATGATGCTAAAAAATTATTTATCCCAACTCGAATAGGCATTACATCCAAAATTATTTATCCAAATCCGAATTAGCATTTCGCCCGAATTTTGTATGGAAGAGACTGCAAAGTATGTTTAAGGTAGTTATAGTTGAAAATGATATGACTACGCTTTCACATTTACTATCGGGATTCCACCAAAAGTTCTATTACGACAATAGAGACAATAAGTTTTTTCGCCACAGTAATTGCCATCACCCCACCGACCTTCCACATCATATCCTTTATGCTCTTCATCACATGTTGGACATGTTCCTGAATAATCATAATACAGTAATTGCTGTATTTATTGCTACGTTTTAAAGATAAATTATTGAATTGCTCTAATGTGGTATGAATAACAAGATTTCGTTTTT